GCACAATTAGTGCAATCTCATCATCCTACTATGATCGGAGTGTCGGCGATACCAGTCTGGCGAAATATACGATGCTGGTATATAGGATGAAAAAAGGGGGTCAATTAAAATGGGCCCTTCCGTCATGCGACTGTACGTGCACAGGTTGAATAGGGCCGTACCAACGCTAAATAAATAAGTCGGCAAACGTTTATGAAAAAATCAAGTCGATATTAATGCATCAAGAGAATTGTCAAATAAAATCTTCCCTCCTCGTTTATAGCACAGATAGAATTATCTATGTTGGATGTACTTAAAAAATTTTTGCACCCCCTAAGGCAGAGAATTGCACTCGTCAGAATTGCAAAACTTATTTTTGTTCCTGTAAAGTTGATTGTGTTCGAGTATGATTCGTTCCGTTTCTCGCTTAGTTTCTCTGCTAGTTTCTGGATGGTTTTTGTAGAGCCTGGTACACGCAAAAACTAGTGGAACAAAGCTGCTGTGTTCCACATCCAGAATTTTTTGTTGGTATTTTAATGTTTTGACTCTCTCATGATATTTGTAGGCGTCGGATAAAATTTTAGGACAGGATTTAGCATGGAGGTTGAAAAATTTTACAGCGAAAAAGGTTCGGCTGAATCGGCCTCCCCAGAGTCCATTTGCTTTGATGTCAAGTCGAGCGTCATCTTCAGTGGTGGTTGTTTTGCTGTGAAAGCTTTCGCCTTCCAACGATTGAAGTTTGGGCTCTATTTCAACATCATGGCAGACTTTGTCCAGGAGTGTCGCAAAAGTATCGCGAATTTCCTTATGTCTTAGGTGAGTGTATCCACCTTTGGGACAGTGTAGAGAGTGGGTCAGTGTGAACGGTTGTCCACATGGGCATATATGTGGGGTGTTTGGTGGTTCCCATCTATATCTAAGATGTAATCCATCTTTAAACTCTGATTTGTTGAGGGAAAAATTGTATCTTTTTAAGGGTAGCACGCTTAGCCAATTCGATGCTTCTTTCTGTGACGCTAGATTTATTGTCAGTTTTTTTCTGATGAGCAACTTTCCATAATTATTTTAGCCTTTTTTGAGAAAGTGATGTTCTGTCTCTCAGTTTTAATGTTTCTATTTATCAGAGTTTGTTCCGTTTCAGCTATTTCTGGATCACTGTTTTCTAACGGATCACAAATGGCTTGTGACCATTCATAATTTCTGGAAAAGTCCGTGTTACTGAGGAGGTCTAATCCTCCCATTCTTAATGGTAGCGCAAAAAAGTTGCGGTCTTTATCGGTTATATGGTTTATAGCAGTAATACTAAGAAGTAGCTGCTGTCTTACGTTTTTCTCAATTTCATCCTTTTTCTTAAATGCTTCCGGAGTTGTTCTGGTTAGAAAGCTTAATTTATTTTGAACTCCTATTGTGCAGCAGGAGTATGCATTTTATGGTGATGTTTTAGCTATTTTGGTAAACTTTTCAATTAGAATAGCTGTCTTTTCAATTTTGTTTTCCCTGTATTTATCGCATAATGATGGTGTTCCTATAACCGATCCAAGGACTCTAAAACAGTTGGAATACTCAACCACTGTAGTATTTGTGCCTTCAAATACTTTTATGGCGCTGTCACGACTGTTTTATTTTACTATGAGTTGACACTTGGAAGGCTTCACATTGTATCCGAAAGCCTTTCCGTACATATCCAGGTTGTCCAGTATTGCGCTGAGACTCTTAAGATCACATGCAGCGCTTCCATCATCTGCGTACCATTTTTGGGTGACATTTGGTTTTTGCAGGAGCTCAATCAGTGGGATTATCCCAATTCCATACATAGCCATTGCGAGGGGCTCACCTTGCGTTGCGCCTTCGGTAGATATCAAAACCGTGTTATTGACATATAGATGTGAAGGACGATTGTATGAGTTGGCCAGCGCATGATGTAGTGCCGGACAAAGGATTTCTACATTTTTAGAGCAAGTTCTCTATTGAGCGAGTTGAAGGCATTTTCTGCATCAATAAGTACTATAAGGTCCGTTTCCGGATTCTCAAACTCGTTCCTCAAGCTGTGGATAGCATATTCGATTCCACACTTCTGGCCTAATCAGAGTTGGATAATTTTTCCGATATTTTTAAGGTCTGATTTTGAATATTGAGTGATTGTTTTGCCATTTTTTTGTTTTCAGATTTTTGCCTATACCAATGGGCCGTACCCCTGGATTTTTGTCCAGAGGCTTCAAGCGACACGAGCTGTACGCCGTTAGGTTTTCTTGGGGGAGAACTTTACTTGCTATTGTATAGATTAGTTTAGCAATTCTTTTGCAAAGCTCAATGGATGTCTGGTTGAAGTGAGTTATTATCCTTCTCCATTCGCACGCATCTAGACCTGAGGGACCTTGGCTTCCGTGCGTTTTCAGGAATGATTTTCGAACTGTCTTGGCGTTTATTTGTTCGAATACAGAGGGGTGGTATGTCATTGCGTCTTCACTTATTTCAGTTATATAGTTAGTGATCGCTGTTTTGGATTGAGGGTGTTTTTCTTTCAGGATACTTAGGACTGTTTTTCCTTCAATGACTTCGTTTAGGGGAAGTACTTCTTTTGTTTTCTTGTCTGAAAGGCAGCCAATGGCGGCAGATTTTTTGTCTGTACTCATTAGCTTATCGAATTGCTTAACTTCCTCGTTTATTTCGGACTTCTTCTGTTTTGGATGTCTAATTTGGAGAGCTTTCGCTTCAGTGAAAAGTTCGTCTAGTAGGCCTTGCTTTCATAAAACTATGCGGTGGCTTAGTGTTTTAGAGTTTGATCCGTTTAATTCCGATTTAGTTTTGGGGAGCAGCAGATGTGTGAGAATCATTGCTGCTTTCCTTGCGACGTTAAAATTTGATGTTTCTTCTACTAATGACAACAGCTGCTGGTTCAGCAATTCTATGAACTGGAAACCGGGCTTGTTCTTGCGTAGAATTATTCCAGTTAACGACAATTTTATATATTTCGTTTATTTTAATTTCAAGTTCTTGGTCGATAAGTTTTCAGGGGTCGAAGGGGGCTGTAGTGATCGCTGGGGCCGATGGATAAGTTTGTGTTGCGTTGGACATTACGTTTGTTGCAGGTGTTGCCGGTAATGTTTCTTTTTGAGTTATGATGGGGACTGTGCTTGTTGGTTTTTGAGTTGTAATGGGGGCTGTGCTTGTTTGTCTGTTGGTGGAGTTGGGCTCTTTTGCAACGTTCTCGGGGATGCACTGTATGCAGGAGAACCCATCGTAATAGAGTTTGTTGCTCTGTAGCCCGCTACATGAGACATGGATGTAAGCTTTGCAAATGACACACCATATGCCTCCTTTTTGGATGTGGCGTTTGCAACTATGGCAGTGCATTTGATCGGCCATAGTTTGCGCAGTTTGGCAGCGAGGAGGGTAAATTTATGGTGAATATATACAAGTTAGCTGAGCGAGCAATAAACTGAAAATTTTATTACCATAAAAAGAAAAATGAATACCATCTTTACAAAACATATTAGCACTAAAATTAACGTTTAGATTGGGGGAAATAATTCGGATTCTCGAGTGGAAAAATGTATTAATAAGGCGAAACAAAGAGTTATTTAGACCACCAAGCTTTCTGTTTATGAAATTATTATTTGTAGAGAGGATAGTTTTGGGGATAATTAGCACATTTGGAATAAACTTATGAATTATCAAGTATTAAAAATCTCCAATCATTAGCAAAGTCTGAAACCGTAGATGAGTTATCATTAAATCCGGCTACTATAGTAGCACAGTTCAGTTTCTTCGAGGGGTAGCGCAAGAGGTCGGCTAGCTTTGCATCTCTGAATGATTGAACCGTGGCTCCTACATTTTGTGGCTGCAGTACTTGGTCTTTGAGGTTTTTATTACCCGTTTCCTGTCCCACTTCGGTAGCCAATTCAGCCAGTACTTCGGCAAGGACATTCACTAAGCAGGGTACAAAAGAGGCAAAACTAGAGAAAGAATAGATTGTAAACTGGATTTTAGAGAAATGGATTCAAACAACAAATAGCCAAAAAGAAATGAAGTCGATTACAACCTGGTTATTCACGGGTGGAGGTTCCGGCGGGGATGTCCGGGTAGAGGGGGAGTATCGCTGCTTGACGAGCTTGGCTCTAAAATCCCGTACCGGGCATTCTTACAAGCGTACCATTATGAGCGTATCATGTCACTTGAAACTATTTAATAAGTTTATCACCACAATTAGGCTCTATATATAGGATGAAGGAAGAAAGATTGAACTTTGATTGCTTAACTCGTTTCTGACCTAATTATTTTTAGAAAAAAAGATTAAAACTAAAAAAAGGAAAAACTTTTCTATGAAAATCAAATTAACATGAAATTAAATAATTTAACAGCGCCAAAAAATTAACGAATTACTTGGAACGTGAATTATGATAAGAACGGAAATATTAATTTTGAAAAATAATGTGTAAGTTATTAGGTTGATGACGCCAGGTTATAAGTCAAGTTCTGCTGTACTTTAAAACGCAGAGAACGGAGAAGAAGCTGTGAAGGATAACTATTGTTATTTGATTGAAAAAAGTTGTAAACAAAAAGGAAATGTTTTAATCATTGAAAGTTATCGGAAAATTAAAATGAAACGAAATAATCTCACAACACCAAAAAACTAAACAATAATATAATTCGTGAATTATCATTAGAAACAATAATTAATAAATATTATTAGCAAAATTTTTAAGTTGACGACGCCAGGTGATACGTCAAGTTGATACTTTGTTGTATTTAATGAACTGATATCATAAAGGTCTCAATAAGAACTTTGAATCGTGTCGAGTTGCGTGTTCTTATTGAAGAAACGTAACCCGTATCGATTTTAATTGAAAAGGACTTAAACTCTTGTCATCTTTTATCATTATCACTTCCATATCTAGAAAATTCCAAGGATTTTGACTGGAATACGTGATGAAGGGACTCCTGACTGTAACCTCGGTTACTATGATACTTTTGACCTTCTGATTACCTTTAAGAAAAAGAAAAAAAACTGATTTCAGGTCCACATGACAAGTTCTGGTTTTCTTCAAAATGCGGAAAACAAAGTGATTGGATGCAATGGATGATAGCTAGAGTGTTGTTTTGATTCCTCAGAGCTAAGTTTAGCCATCAATGCCATGTGGGTGCCTATTGTGAGACTTTTCCGTCGGATACCTCTGTTACCGTATGTGTTTCTCGCTGTACTGGCCCTTTTAGGAGTCTCATTTCTGAGACAGGATAAACAATCATCACAGTTAGAAGAAGTAAGCATCTTTGTGTTTAATGAATTTAAAAAAAAAAACTCTGTTATAAAGTCCAAATGAAAGAGTTTTTTTTTCAAATGTGCAAATGGTTGTCTTAACGCTTGCGAAAGCAAGTGTTTGTAATCGGGAACTTAACTTTTTTCTGTGCATTTTTTTGAATCGTTACAACTTCATGATTTCTTTGCGCTTGGTCTAGAGGTAACGTCGTCGCCTGTGCACCCTTAGGTCGTGGGTTTGAATCCCGGCGGGAACTCTTTTTCAGTGTTTATGCAATTGAATTTTTGGTGGATAGAAAATGATTTGTCGGACTTTCATTTATCTGCTTAACTTTTGTCGGCTTAGTTGCTGCCATCACGGGTTTTCGTTGTACTACTACTACTACTAAAAGTGTATATTATTAGCGTTCAACAGTAGTAGCCGGATTAATGTCTACATAAAAGATTCCGCCTTATTTGGACCGTGAAGAAACCGTATGTGACCGAACTCAGAGCCTTGTGTGAAGTTACGGACTTGGGTAAAGGAAAAGGAGGAGTAGCAGTTGTGTTGGCGCTTCCAGATGAAAATCCTTTAGGTGTGAGAGACAAAGTGTTCTCTGCGTAGAATAAGATAGAGAAAATAATTGCGTTTATGGATATTTTGTTCAAGAAAGATGAGTTGACAGAGGTGCTGAAGTGGATGCTGTTTTGATCGGTTCCTCATGAAGTCAGGTATGAAGATGGACGAGTTCATTTTGGAGTTCGAAAAACAGTTTAACAAAGCAAAGAAATGTGAAATGGAGTTATCGCAAGCGGTTTTTAGCTATCGAATGCTTAGATTCAGCAGGCGTGCAACACAAGGACAGACAACTTGTTTTGACAGCTAAGGACGAGAAATTTTTTGGAGGACAGTCTTGTAGACCGGATTCAAATGGATCAGCTATCAAGACTGAAGATGTCAATGCGGCTTGGAGTGCCAGAGGAGTAGCTTACTCGAAACGAGGACATTGACGTGGCTTCGCAAGTCGGGGTTGTTTTCGAGGTAGACTAAACAATCGTGGAAATACTGGTCAGTTTAGTGGTAGTCAGTCTGGTGGTAGTCACTCTATTACACAAAAGAAGAGTTTTAATCGGTCAGATGCGGACAGTAATCCGATGCGGCGCCCGCCTTGTGATTCAGTACGGCACTTAGTGAAAGACTGTCCTAATTCTTCTAAAAACATGAAGAGGCTTTCTGGTCATGATGCAGAAGAACTAGCTCTTTTTACAGTAGCTTTGAGAAAAGACAACGAGGTTGTAGGGAGTGAGGCGTAGAATTCAGCAGTTTTTGACAATGCATGCGATTCAACAGTTGAAGTGGACACTGTTATTTGAGTAGTTTCCTGTAGCGTGCATGGTTGCTTGCAGCAAAGATAGTTGTTCGAGAGAGGACCAAATTTTGAACTTGCATAAGCAGTTTGCGCATTCGAGTGGAATGAACAATGCCAGAAGTCTCTGGACAAAATTGACGAAAAATGTGAAACAAGCATGATGTAAAACGCCTCCAATGACTGAAAATCTTCCTCTTGCGCAGCGTTTCCTTGAGTCTGTGGCAATGGAATTTTCAGTTTTTAAGCTTGAATTTATTTCTTGCAGATGACTGTTTTGTTTATCAGGTTTTCGTTATCGGCTAACGTTAGCAGGAAACCAGAAGAAATAATAGAGAAAATAATGGTGTTGTGGAATGGCTCTAGTATGAGATGTCCGAAGAAATTTTTGGCTGGAAATGGTGGCGAGTTCTCTAAGGAAGAGTTTGTGTGAATCTCTCAACCTTGAAAGGTTGAACACGGCGGTGAGTAGTCTTTGGCAAAATGGGTTGTGAGAAAGAAATCGTGCTGTCATTGACAGTAATGCGAAGAAAATCATGGACGATAATTCAAGAATTGGTGTAGAGCTGGCGTTAGCATGGGCTGTTAATGCGAAAAACTGTTTGCAGAACTTGTCTGTTTTTTTTCACCATATCAGTTGGTGTTTGGCAAAAATCCAGATTTGCCGACAGTTTTTACTGATGAACCACCGGCCTTGGAAAGTCGAACTGTGATTGAAATGTTTGCGAAATTTTTAAACGCTCTCCACACAGCTCGTAGAGTTTTTATTAGGTCAGAAGCTTGTGAGTGTGTTAGAAGAGCGTTGCGTCACAAAATACGAGCAGCTTCACAGAAGTTTTCAGCTGGTGACAACTTTTATTATAAGCGTGAAGATTCTAGCGAATGGAGAGGTCACGGTCTGTTATAGAACAGGACAGCCAAGTTGTGTTTACAAGACACGAGGGCATGTCAGCATTTCAGTCAGAGAAAGAAATGGTCACTACGCGAAATCAGTGCGAGTGTCAGAGCCGATTGAAAGAGGAGAAATCACGATAAGGCCAGATTCAGAAGAAACAATTCAATTTCATCCGAAGAAAGGAGAGTTTGCGGAGTGAAGGGATGCTGATGACAGTACGTGGCGACGTGTCGGAATCACTCGAAATGCGGGGAAGAGAGTTGGTAAACACAAAAACTTGGTGAATGTTGAAGATCTAAAGTCAAAGCAACGATATGCAATTTATTTGAATAAGGTAGAGTGGAACAGTGTCGTGCAATGAAGTGTTGATTGCAGATGATTTTAGAGATGAGAAAATGGTTTTGGAAGCCGAAGAGAAAGAAGTTGATAACGGGAAGAAATTTAGTGTATTTTGTGACGTTCAAGATTCGAAGCAATCTGTAATCAGTACGAAGTGGGTGGTAACTACAAAAAGTCAACTTTTCTCGAATTCAAACCTACCAAATCTGATTTTATGGGCTCAATGGAAATAGCGGGCAGTAAGAAACGCCCCTTCATCAGCGGCTTCTAACACTTTTTTACAACACAAAAATTTATCGCCGTAGAAAACGTCACGTCAAGATTTTGATTTTTAACCTTTTTTAAGCTTTGAATTTTCTCGAAAACTACAATCCAATATCTAAAATTTGGATTCAATCCGAGGAACCGGTTGCGGAAAGCTTCTTTGCGTTTGCCTCTTTGTCCAAAGTGTTTACCTCGGAAAAGTCAAGTTTTGATTTTTTCACTGTTCAAACATTTGTTCGATTACTTCCTGAATCTCATCTTCCAAACCTCAAATGAAATTGGCCTCCCAAATCTCAATTTTTATGTTGAATTGAAAGTTCAGGGTGTGTGAATATCTTCTGCACAAGCGGCTACGCCCAAATTTTTTCACACCAAAAGCTATGATTCTCGGAAATTTCAAGTTTTTCATTTGTTGGCCGTTTCTTGGACTTTATCCATTACCATCGTGAGAAATCTGATATCGTACCTTTAATTGAAACAACATTTTGTTGAAAGTCTAGTTTTGTAATTGGCTACGTCCAATTTCTTGAAAAAGTTATAGTTCTGAATTTTTGATCGTTAATTGGAACCTTTTTGAGTTTACTCGACTGTTGAAAGTCTGTTTTTGTAAATTTCTTTAGAAAAAGTTATAGTTCTGTGAAACTTTGACCGTTAGTTGGAACCTTTTTGTCTTTATGCGGAAACATTCTTAAGTTAGGTGTTCTATCGAGAAACACTGTTATGGGAATTTCCTCTAATCTAGCGGCCAACGACCTGCGTGTTGCAAAAAAGTTACTGATTTCGGAAAGTCAAATTTTAAAGCTTTTCAAATTTTCTTAAAAACTACCGTATCAAATCTGAGATGAAAAGGTCAATCGAAAGAACCGGTTGCGAGAATTTGTGAGATATCATTGAAATTAATTTATATCGTATCTTATTCAAATCCAGACTTTATTCATTTCGTAAATGTCAGTCTATCTGTAATTACACTTGCTAGTGTTAGTGTCTTATCAATATATCAGATAAGGCTGCTCTTTTCACTACTATCCTAATCTTGCCCTTCATGTGTTAGTTTGATAAGAGTTATTTGTTTATTCAGATTGACTCCCTAGAACTTCGCATATCGGAGCTGCAGAAACGTCTGAATTATTTGCAAGGAGAGAAAAGTCAGCGCGATGTTAATCCAAAGCTCAGAGGTCAATTGGATAAACCGGAAGGAGAACAAAACGTTCCTAGGCATCCAGGTTGGTTAGTTGTAATGTCTGAATATTTTTATCCTCCGTGATCTTGGTTCAATTGATTGTTTTGCTTACCCTTGCTATGAGCAAGGGCGTTGCAACCGGGTACTAGACCTTTTTCTCCATAAATAAATTCGTTCACAAAATTTCGCAACTGTTTCATCTTGTTTCATTTTAAATTCAAAACTAATCAACCACCGCATCTGGCTTAGAGGTTACACGCCTGCACGACGACAAAGGTTGGAATCTGGCCGGGACCTGTTTTTTTTCAAACTATAAATTTTCTGCTCTTTCAGACTATCGTTTTTGTAGCATGCACACTTTGAAGGTTCCGCTTTCTTCTAAGTTACTCAATGCCATTTCGAAAGCCCCATTTTTTGATTTTTTGTTCCATTCATAAATGTGCACTGAAGTATTAGGTATGCGAGGATTGTGCTCGCAATTAGCAAGCATTATCAATTCGGAACAGAATTATTTCGTTAAAAAAAGTTGTTTGAAAAAAATCACAATCATTTTCTCAAATCTGCACTGTCGTCAACCAACAGACTTATTTTGAGTTTGTTTGCGTTTCAAATATCTGTTCTATTCCTCTGCGTGTGAGTCTTTTGAGGGGGGGTAATTTGATGTTTTTTTTGTTCTGCTCTCATATCTCCTTGTTTCTATGCAAATTTATTTTTCAATTTTACACTAGCGGGCAGCCTAGTGTATTAGTACGAATCTTCTTTTTTTCCAGCCTAACTGGCAAATAAATTTGTTCATTAAAAGTGTTCACTGGTTTGGTGGCACTTTTACTATAAGCACGATCTGTAGGTTTAGAAATTTCATAGCATCTGTTTTCTGCCTTTTTTGTGGCTAGTATATGTGATTAATTTAACGACCACGGCTGAGTGGTTAGTGCGTAGACTCATATTCTCTAAGTCGCTGATCGGATCTGGGAAGAATTTTTTTTTTTACTAATTCGAGTCCTTTTTCTACCTTTTCTTGTTGCACTTTCTAGAGCTGCTTCTTGTGTTCTCGCCAGTGCTTGCGAAGCAGAAACTAGTTTTTACACTAGGCCTCCGTGTAAATATTTGTCAGGTTTTAAAAAACTTTATTCAAGATGTGAAAATTGTGGTAGATCTAGTTTTTCTCGATCTTTTCAAAACTATTTTTTTTTCGACGTAGTGGTTTTCGTCTTATCTGTCTGCTAGCTTGTTTTGGTATCTTTGTTGTATCACAAGTGCTGAGAAGCTCGGCTTTGCTTCTTTGCATTTATCAGTGCAAGTCTGGTAATTAGGAAAAGTATGAAAGATGGGTCCCGCAATTTTTGTGAAAGTTTCGAAAATACTTGTAAATAAATGTGAACCGTATTTCCGAAAGTTTTTGACCTAAAATTTTTTCGTCAGCACCCATCTTAATTTTAGGAACCCAACTACCATACTTGAGCCATTTTTCTCCAACCACTTTGCGTAAAAGGGATTAGGAAGTTATTGAAAGCAGGGTGTTTTTTTTATAGGTCGAGTGATTTATGTAAATTCAGTCTTGCTTTTCAGGAAAAACGGATTGGTTTTGTAAATAAGGCCAGATTGGTAATTCGGGTTGCGAATGACATTTGAAAATTGCAAAAAGCTTTCTGCATCGAGAAAAACTGATTGAAAATTTATAGCAGGATTAAGGGTTGGGTTTCTAAATCTTAAATGGGAAGTTCTAAACCCATTAGTTAAATACTAGGTTCCCGATTTTGAATAAAGAATATTTAATTTTTTCATAAAGCTGAAACAAAAAGAGTTATTGTTTTAGCTTTATGGAAAAATGAATTGTTGTTTGTTCAAAATCGGAAACCTAATATATATTTTTTCAAAGTTGATCAAATTAGAAAATGGAAAATGCTATTGGATCCTACCAGCCTCAGTTTCACGGTTCTTTGTCTCTCAAATGATTCTCAAAAATGCAGTGTAGTTTCCTAAAATTTGTTCCATTTATTTTTTTGCGGTTTGACTTTTCGACTACTTTTTAAATTCATTCCTTTGTTAAAAGGAAGGCAAGATCCACTATCGAACAGCGAAAGTGTAAAGGTCACAAAAATGGAATTTAATTTTCAGCTTGCCTATTTTGAGTTTGAAGGAAATAAAAATTATCCCGTTGACCCAACTTTCTCTAATTGGGTTATTTTTATCAGGCCATTAACTTTTCAGGCCATCTGTTTTTTCTTTGCAATTCAAAAATTGAAGTTATTCCAACAAAACGAAGTCAGTATTTTTTCCTTTTTCCTTTCTTTCAAGGCTTTTATCCAACTGACTGTTGCCTATGCGTTTCTTCGAAATTTGAAATTAAAAACAAGACAAATGTGTAGATGTGGCTGGGATGGTGCTGCCAGTGCTGATGATGGCGTGTAACAGACCAACAGTTGGCAGGGCGCTGGACTCACTGCTGCGACACAATCCAGATCTCACCAGGTTTCCAGTCATTGTCAGTCAGGACTGCGGAGATGTGCCTACTGCCAAAGTAATCGAAAAATACCTCCCTAAAATCACACATATCAAGGTACGCATTAAATTTATTCATACAATTAATTATTCGATTCTCGAAGGTATGAAATAATAATGGAAATACTAATTTTAAATCATCATTTACCTTATTTGATAATCTTAATAATTGAAAAACGTTGAGCATGTAGTATACAAATTGATTTGGAGAGAAATATTTTTCCACATAAGCAAGGGTATCGCAACCGGGTTGTAGACTTTTTTCCCGCAAATAACTTCTTCACATCTATTTTAGTTGATCTTCCAATCTGTTCTTACCTCTGTTACTCAACAGAAATAGTTTGAGCATGTCTTCGTTTTAAATTCCCATTATATTTACACAAGCATAGCTTGTGTTATAGTATGGACTTTCTTTTTTTTTCCAACCTAAGTCGCAAATATTGTTGCGAAGCAATTGTTGCGACAAAATGTGTCATTTTGAAAGTGTTCATTTTGATGCAGCTATAAAGTACAGCCAATGCTAAGGATATTAACACAGACTATGATTACAAATAGCACTTTAGCTTCAAGGCATCATGGATCTGTAGCGGAGGGTGACCAGCAGCAAAATAATAGGGTTAGAACCTGTGTGACTTATGAAAATTTGTACACTCAAAGTTTTACTCATTCAGTTTTTCCAGTAGCGTTATCGGTCATATTTTTGCTTGTGTATGCGAAGTGCAACTTCCATTCTGTGTCCGAAATTGTTTTAGGTTGGTTCTAAATTTATCAACTCCGATTTGTTGAACTTTCAATTTAAGTTACTTTCTTTTAACTGTTTCGGCTGATATTATATCGGCTTTGTGCCCTCGTTTTGCGTCGTATGAGTGAATAGTTTTCTTAATTGTTGTGTTTCTTGAGAGAGGGGATTTTTCCGAGTTGAGTTTTTTTTTCATCGAAAACATTTTTTATTTTAGCCCAATGGGTGTCTGCTTGAGTTAAGTCGGCTTCGTGACCGCTTCGTAATTGTTCGCTGCGATCCTTCTTCAACATTCAATTACCGTAGCTTAGATCTTTTTTTTCTAAAAAGAACATATTCATGACAAAGTGCGACAAACATGAAAAGTATGGTAATTATCTAGTGTTTTCGACAGTTATTTTCGTTACATTTTAAGCCCACTAATTTTTCATGGTTTGTTTTTTTATCGCAATTGGTGCGAAGCTCTGCTTTTTCTATGTGCCACTTTCGCGAAGTTCTGAACCAAGTGCCAGTGAATATAGTGAAGACACTTATAAAGGTTGTGATGATATGTTTTAAAAAGCAATTTCAGGAAAAAGTTTTTAGAATTTGGTCACGCTAAAACTTGACTTCCGGCAGTTTAATTATTGGTTTCTGAGAAAATTATTTTTAATTCAAAGAAACTTATACTGTTCCCATTAAAAAAGCTGAATTGGTGGGAAAAAAAACAAGATTGAACCGAAGTAAAATTTTTCTTTGAAATTTGAAAGTTTCAATAAAAGTCAATCGTTTTTCTGTTTTACACAGAAGTTCCTTGACAATTTCTGAGTCAATGAACAAATTAGTACCAAAATACAAAATTAACTGGTTGCTGTTCGAGGCACAGAATGTTCTGATCACAATGATTGAAGTAGAAAAAGCAAACAATTGAAAAAAAACTAAATTAAATTTCTTTTCTTCATTTTTCGTAATGTCTTTTTCAGAAAATATATTTTTTCAGTTATAGATTATTAACTTAGCGCAAAATTGTACAAAACAGATGAATGAACAGTAAAAGTAAATTGCAAAATCAGTCTCCATGTGTCATTATTAGTTTCCTGTCATTTAGTTTGAAAAAGGTAAAAATTCAGACCTATTTTTTTGACGCAGTTCTTTGATTTTTAAGAGTCTGAATCTTGAGTGAAAGTGAAAGGGCTTTAACATGAAACCACAATTTGAGGTATTCAAATCTTTGATATCGGATCAATAACATGGGTTAATGGAGAGATAGACGTAATGCAGGTTAAGTGCCTTCTTACGCATAATAATTGCCTAACTAATATGATAAGGGGACAACTAAATAATAAGGGTATCAAAATGATGTGCATTCAATATAAGTGGTAATTAATTGCACTAACTAGTTTGAGAGCGTAAGTGTATTAGTACTAACCTTCTTTTTTCTAATCTAACTCGTAAATAAAAGTGTTCATTTATTTGGTGGCACCTTGCTATAATCACGATATGTAGCATGCTGGAAATTGCATAGCATCTGTTCTCTATTTATTTGTGGCTAGTGTTTGTGATTAATGAAGCGTCTGTGGTTAGTGTGTGAGACTCAAAGTTTTTAGGTCGCAGATCGAATCCGAGACGTGGCCAAGTTTTTATTAATTCGAGGCTTAATTCCATTTTTTTATTGCACTTTATAGAGCTGTTTTTTGTCGTGCTCTCGCTAGTGTTTGCTAAGCGGAGCTTTGCCTCTGTAAAAATTTAGTTACAATTATAATCCCTCATATAGGGTGAAAGGCATTGTAAAAGAAATTTTATTTTTAAGCTTAAACATTTTGCCGCTAACCATGATTCATAGTAGCGTTTTGTTGCTCAGTGTTTGAGCTAAGTGCATGGCTGAGCACTGAAATACGAAGGATCTTCAAAATCCTCTTTTCATTTGAGCAACTGTTATTAAGTGACATTTGTTAAGACTCATAAACGTAGTGAATACTCTTTTATAGGTCTTGGTAATATTTTGTTCAGGAAAAAGTTTTTGATTAATTTTCGCGGTTTGACTTTTGATTTTTTTTTCAAGTTCAATTCGTTTTCTTTCTTTTAAGGAAGGCAAACTCCAATATTGAACAGCAAACGTGCAAAGGTCACAAAAATGCGATGCACTTCTAGTTTCGAAAATGGTATTTAGTCGTCAGATTTGCCAGCGAACTAAAGAATTTACCTATTGATCCAGTTTTTTTTTCAAGTTGGGCTAATTTTAGCCAAAAAGTGTCAATCATAACTTTCAAAGAGCTGTTAGGCCATCTAGTTTTTTGAAAGTTGAATTTCTCAAAAAGAAAGTGTTTTTTTTGTCTATTTCGCCGCGTTCATAACTCTTTTCCAACTTCTGGCTCTTAAATGAGTTTTGCTAATAAAAAGACGAATTACTCTTTCAGTAGCGAAAGAGAAAACACTCCAAATTGTTATTGACATTTCGTTTCGAAAGTGTTTTTAATTTCTTGGACTTTTCTTCATTACACAAGCAAAGCTTGTGTTATAGTATGAACTCTCTTTTTTTCCAAACTTAGTCGCAAGTATTGTTGCGACAAAATGTGTTGATTTTGATCAATAACCAGCTTCTAAGTACAGACAATGCTAAGGATATTAACACAGACTGTTATATTACAAATAGCACTTAAGCTTCCAGGTATCATTTGATCTGTAGCGTAGAGGTAGGGAAGGAGACCCGCAGCAGGGTGGGATGTTTTTAATGAACTTTTTCGTATAATAGTTAAAATGCGTCCGTTCTAGAAATCGAGGCGCTTTAGTTGGTAATTTTTTTCTTCAAATTGACTGGTTCTGCTAATGCGTCATAATTGGCTTAGGTCACTTAGCAATTATGTAGACTCATAATTGGCGTGCGTCACTTAAGAAATTTTGTAGACTCAAAGTTTTACTTATTAAGTTTTTCCCAGTAGCGTTATCGTTCATATTTTTGCTTTTGTTATGCGAAGTGCAACTTCCTCTCTGTGTCAAATATGTGGCACTCACAAAAGATTTGGTCCCCTCTAGTTACGAAATCAAAATAAAAGTTATTTTGATCAAGAAAACTATTAATCATAAATTGTTCTTGTAATGAGGAGAGCCTTAAGGGCATGTATTTTCTCTTTGCATTTCAAAAATTACATTTTTTCATGAAACATCTGTTTTTCTGTTTCCTTGCGTTCTTTGACTCTTTCCCAACATTATTGGCTGTGTTTTCATTTTTAGAGGCTTTTTAGAGCTTCTTTTTTGCTGTTTCATGGCTGGTGTTTGCGAAGTGCAGCTTCGCCTCTGTGTTTACGAAGACATCTCAGTTCTTACCTAGTCGAGATCATTGAAAAATACCTTGATAATGATTGAGTTTTCGATGATTGTTTTGAAATCTTCGTAGTTTTCAGAGTTAATTAAGACTTACAAGACCCTTCACGACGAGCTTTAAGGCACTAAGCAACAAAAACAGGTTCATTTTACTGAAATTTGTTGTTCCGACTTTCGATACGAAAGTAACGGAATATTTGTGCTCGGGGTGGGTTTTTTTTTCTTCAGACAAATTTGGACTTTTTAACTAGCCATTTTTGACGGATTTTTTTTTTATCATTCAAAAGATATTGTTGTTTTGGAGCTTGAATTTGAAAAGATATTTCACCTGTGATCATTTTTTGTAAAAATATGGGGATTTAAAGATTGGCATTTTGACCAATTTGGGACAATTAACGCGCGTATATTTCGCGCTAATAACTCGTAAGCGGAGATTTAATCCGTCTTAGAAATCGTTCCAAATTGGTTGAAAGAAGCTTAGTTGCCATGAATGATTTGTTACTAGAAGCAAAATTTATCACTTTGTACTCTATATGGCGTGTGAAGGGATGTTTTTCACAAAGTTTTTTTCATTTTTCTTTACATTTATTTTTTTCATGTTATTACTGCTTCATAGACCTTTAAAGGCCTTAAAAGTCGGAACATTCAGGGCTCCGCCCTGATACGAGCAGTCTTGTATATCTTTAAGATAGAGATGTACTCATTGATGTGTATTGTTGCGTGTATCTAATAACATATAATAGTACAACGTGCATGTGCTTAAAACCTATAATGATACTAAGCATGAAGACGTTTTACTTGTTGGGCCAAAAACTTGATTTTGGATAAATGCCCCGCCGCAGAAACCATAATAATGGAAAATAGAGTTTTTGAATAATCGACCAAAATAACTCTTAAAATTGTAATGTTCTTTTTAAATTGATAAACATTACGATTCAAGACAAAATAGCAGGATTCTTTAGTCGAAGAATGTCTAATTTGAATGATTGAAATTTTTGTATAACGCTTGTGATAAATAGTTGTCGTGTAGTCGTTTTACTGCGTATAACCAGGGCTGTCATATTGTTAACTAAAACGTTTTTAACATGTTAACATGTTAATTATATGAAAAAAACACGTTAAAAACAAAATTGAGTTTTAAAATCACTCATTGAGTTGTTTAAAGAGAAAAGCCAGCTTTCCAGCCTTCTCGACGCCCAAAGAACTTCGGAGTTTTCCATAAGTGAGTCCGAGAGTTGAGAAACACCGCTCCAATCCTGCACTGGAGGAGATAGCATTGGCCAGTGTCGATGCATAGTCGACCAATTCTTTCGAGAATCCCAGTCGAAGTCCACTTCTCCACCAAGCTTCACTCTCGACCTTTTTGTAACCCTCAGCAAAAAGGTATTCGTTATAGGGAGGAACTTTTGCCATGTAATTTGTGAGCTCCGGCATGATATTTTCACCAGCCGTTTCACGGATGTAGTCGATGGCTTGTCTTGTTTCATCCGGATTCTGGTCCTCTCCGGCATACTTGTGATCGAGCAAATTAGCCGCTAGGACGACGGGTAGAATGGCCTGCTGAACTCGCTTAGCGACGGCACTTGCATACTGAATTGGTGCTTGTCCGGCAACATTTTTCCAGAGCATATGATGCATTTAATTCACTGCAATAAAACTTCCGTTACCACTCCGCCCTTGAAAGAAGAAAAAACTGGTTTCTCCCCTAAACGTCTTCTGACAAGTTAGTTGCGTCGTTTGTGGTGGCTGACAGTTGAAGCCCGATATACAGTCTTGTGAGTTCTTGCATGCTTGACCATCGCCTTTCCCTGACAAAGTGGCTGGCGTTTTTGAAAATGAGGATGGCGTTTTTGAATATATGGAAGGCGTTTTTCCCGATGTCGCGATTAACCTTTGATTTTTTCGTATTAGTTTGATCTAAATTATCCTAAATTATCATTGGGATCTTTCTACCCTTTCGATCAGCAAGGGTGTTGCAACCGGGTATTAGATTTTCCCCCATAAACAACTTTGTTCGCAAAATGATCACTGAACAGGAATGGTAAATTTCACGCTCTATGGCTGGCCTATTCTTAAAAATTGAAATATAGGTACCATCATTTGAGTAGTGATTAGGTGTATTTCGTTTCAGGCAGTGCTTACTTTTTCACTTAAATTGATCGGAAAAATGTCGATTTTTTCTGATTCGTGGTTTTCATCCTAGTTGACGTCGGTTCATTCTCCTTTTTTTTTTTAAAAAAAAAGGCTATTTATTTTTGGCTAGGTTTTTGAACGGCCTACTGTCTAAATAATGGGTTTTATTTTGATTTAAATGTTTTTGAAAAGTAATTGAAAGTTCTGTATATTGTAAATTTAACAAATTTGATTTTGATTAGTTGTAAGTTTTTTTATTGAATGGTTGCGGTGTAGGTTATTTCGGCTTATTTTATATATATTGCGCAGTTTTGAGGGAAAAGCAGTTTTATGCTTTCATGTGTTTCAGTAAATAAGGAATATTCTTACACATGCCTGTGATCGACCATCTTCGGTTCGCATGAACCACAATTAATCTAGACAACGTTACTGGCTTATAATTGCACTGAAAACCGAAATTTTTAAACTGGTTTTTTCGATACTCATGAAACTTTTTGAAATTTTGATATATCGATTGATTCTAATAGAAAGGAATTTAATATGATATAATATAACGAATATTTTTGTACCTAATCTCGCGTTGAAAAAGCCTGAACACACCCAATGACCAAGCTCCTCCCGACTTGCACTGGTCGGATCAATGAGTTTGAATATATTACGTCTAGTAACGACGTGTAGGGCCCTTATCATTTCCCCAAGTGATAAAACGATTTAAAATGGCTAAATTTTAGAAGTAGTTCGGATGCATTACCGGATAGTTGGAACTTACAAGGATTTACTTTTATACGAGCAGGAGCATTTCTTAGTTCATTTCACATAAGTAGAGGCCAAATTACGTTCTCCATTTAAAAAAAAATGGGAATGACCCCTTTAATATGAGTTTGATTGATATTTAAACGATTTGATCCAATTTACCAGATGGGTACGATTTTTTAATAAATTATTATTCGACTCGGAAAGGTTTTAAAGGTGATATAATTTTTTCTAGATATACTTGAGCTTTTTTGGATTTCCTCGAGGTCATCAACGTTTTTCCGTCTGAGTGTTGGCTATGTTTATTATGTGTGAGCGCATCGGATGCTTCGTTTCAGCATGTGAACAACACTCCAATAAAGACGAAAAAGAAAGGGGAAAATATGGGCTACTACAAAATATCCAGACATTACTTGTGGGCTCTAACTCAGATATTTGACGTGCACGACTACAGTGCAGTGGTGATTGTGGAGGACGATCTGGAAATATCGCCAGACTTCTACGAGTACTTTCTGGCCACGTACGCTCTGCTGGAACAGGACCCCACTCTGATGTGTGTGAGTGCGTGGAATGACAACGGTAAACAGAACTTCATAGACGAGAGCACACCGCAGATGCTCTACCGCACAGACTTCTTCCCCGGACTGGGCTGGATGCTCAACAAGAACACCTTCAAACAGCTCCAACCCAAGTGGCCGGCCGCGTAAGTCCACTCATTTCGCTTAGAGTAGACAGCCTGGTACATACAGGGTCTTTTCTAAACTTGTTTTTTTTTTAAATCCTCTCCTATTTTACAAATATTTGGGTTATTGAAGTGTTTCTTTTAGCAGTAGGCAGCAAAAATTCGCCCAATTCTGATGGTATATTTCATTGCGTTGGATTGTTTTTTGTTCACGCATGTTTTCGCGATTTAATAAGGTTTCACTGATTTTTATGCTGAACAGGCTACCATAGTGCTGAATTGAAACAACCGGATAAAATGAACTAAAACTGCATTTGTGCTGAATTCGCTACCGTCGTGCTGAATTGAAACAACCGGTTAAAATGAACTAAAATGATTTTTTATACTCGTTTTTTCAAATTCTGTTATTTTTGGCTGAAAACGATCATAACAAAAAGTGCTTGAAATTTTTCTAGCTTTTTACGGCACAATTTTTTTTTGCAAAATTTGGAACCAAAATTACACCCTTGAAGCGGATCAACTCCTTTTGTTTCAAAATTAAGGATTAAAACAGGGTCAATTGACTTAAGGTTAATTACAGTTGACCCTGTTTACTTCCTTAATTTTGAACCAAATAAAATGACCCGTTTCAAGGGTGTAATTTTGGTTCGGAGTTTTACGAAAACAATTACACTTTTAATTTTATGCGGTTGTTTTAGCTTAGCTCTAAAGTAGCTTGTTCATCACTAAATGCTTGAAAATCCATTTAATCGCTGAAACATGCGTGAACAAAAAACAGTTCATCTCAATAATTTATATCATCAGAAATCGGCAAATTTTTGCTACCTAATGCAAAAAGAATCATTTCAATAACACAAATGTTTGTGAAATCAGAGATGATTTATAAAAACACATTTTGAAAACACCCTGTAGACATCATGTCACCTAAAAAGCAGATGTTTGTTGCAAATTTCTTTTCTATTTTTGTTCCTTAAATTTGTGGTTACATGATTTTCTCTTCTATTCGACAAAGTGAAGTGCCAAACAGATTATCTTACAGATCTTACTTACATTTCTTACTTGCTTTATATTGAAGATTAAGAACTCTCGGATTTGTTCGTTCAAGGCCTAGATGTAAGTAACGCCGTCGCCTTTGCACCCTAAGTCGTTTGAGTCCCGGCCGGACCTTATTTTTTATATGTATTCAATTGAAATTTTTGGCTGTTTCAATTTTCTTCCTCAAGTTGTCTATTGACCACGTTTTATCCATTTTTCATGCACTAGAAACTAGCGATTGATTGCATAAGCGCATTAAAATATTTACATTTTGGCTGTTTAAATTACTAGGTGGGGTTGGCTAAACGTGGCTGTTTAAAATGTTTCACATGGTCGCTACTGCTTTCTGCTTAAATAGTAATGGTGTATAAACCCGGTTTCAGGTACTGGGACGACTGGCTGCGGGAGCCAGCACAGATGGGCCAGGGGATGAGGTCCTGCATTCGTCCAGAGGTGTCCCGCACCAGCACATTCGGCCAGAAGGGAGTGAGCAACGGGCAGTTCTTCAACCAACACCTGCAGTACATACACCATGCAGGATCCAATGTTCACTTCACTCAGCTAGATCTATCCTACTTGATAAAGGTAGCTTCCTGAAGTCACAATTTCTCGCTGTGTTTTTTTTTGCGAGTTCCGACGAAATTGGATAATGGAGCATCAGTTCTGGGCGATATGATACAATAGGTGGTAATTTTGAGTATAGTGCATGTATTAAATTTGAGAATTATAATGCATAGAATAGTCATTTCATTTTCAATCAATTGTGCACAAGCTAATAGATACTAAATTACTCTGCCAAATGAAATGCTATTCAAAAATTTAAAGGGCGATCCAGGTGTTAAAATTGAACCTAACACCTATTGTTATATATCACCCAGTTCTGTTTGTTGTCTGGAAGTATGTCAATTTATTTAACGGACCAACTCAACTTCATCCCCCCCCCCCACTTACGTTTAGGGTGAAAGATTTTACCTTGGTTATGATTTCGATTTTTCAGCCAATCAAAATAGAGCATTTTATACGCAGCGCTTACCAAATTTAGTTTAAACTGAACGCAGGGGTGGAGGATCTTAACTTGGTATCTTTTGGGGGAAAGGATGTTAACTTGATCCTATTTAACTATCGGTTGACTATGTTGATTCACTATTAACTATGTTGATTCTATGTTGATTCATCAGAATGAAAAAGGAATTTTAAAACATACAAAAATTTGCGTAAATAGAGATTATTTGCCGTAGAAAACTCATTTTGGCCAATAATTATTGCTACGAACCCTTTCCTATGTATGGGGCGGAACTAATATCGTAGGTTGTTTTTACGGAAAATCAAGTGCCACAAAAACGCCATATAAGATCAAGTTTTGTATCATAAAAAAACCCTTTCAGTTGATCTTCAGATTCGAAAAAGAAGTTGCCTCAGTTTTGAAAACATTGGCTGGCCTTGCATTCTTATTTTTCAGAATTGTTTTCAGCAGGGAAAGATTTTCAGTAAAAATAAAAATTGAAAAAATTCTTGATAAATTTTTTTTATATTGAGAGTCGATGAACGTGGTTCAGACTTTTATATAGGTCGCGATGATTTTTTTCAGGAAAAATCTTAATGCTTCAATAACATAGTTGCCTTCATACTTATAAATGTACATATGAATGCACTTAGATATATATGCACTTTTTGAGCTCAAATCAAGTTAATTTGCTAGAAGGTAGGCAAAACGCACTCCAATTATGAAAGCTGAAATAGCGCTAAAAAACTTGATCAATTTAATGTTTCGAAAATTGTAAAAATGCAACAAGAAATTGGCAAATTGAAGTTTTCTATGAAACGTCAGTATTTATTCCTTGCGTTCGTTGACTTTTATTGAACTATCTGCTGGTTATGTTTTATTTTGCATAAGTTACTATATTTGGAAAATTTTGACATACTGGTACACCCGACTTGTTTCATTTGAAGATGTTGACGTATGTTTGTTGTTTGTATCTGTATAAATTATGTAATAAGGTGAAAACAGGTTGAATGGATGAAATGTGAAGTTGAGGCAAGACAACACAGATAGATATGGACATGTGTTTTTATAGGAGAACTTTGACGCTCTGATGGACGAGGAGCTGGAAAAAGTACCAGTGGTGGGAGTGGACGAGGTGACGAAGACAGTGACTGATCACTCGAAAGTGAGGGTGGAGTACAAGGACAATAAGGACTTCACAGACAAGGCCAAGAGGTTCTCCATCATGACTGACATGAAGAGTGGTATTCCACGCACTGCATACAGGGGAGTGGTCACCTTCATCCACATGGGCGTCAGAGTGTACCTGGTGCCGAAACGCCCATGGACCGGATACCACACTTGAATTATACCACACACGACCGACGATTAAGAACCGAAGAAAGGGTCAGAGGTGTCAACAAATCAATCAACTAGCCAAACCCCAATTTAAAATGTCCCAACACATATCTGAAGCTGAAGCTGCGTCCCCTGAGCAACTGCGTATGCGTTTGCTGGAATAGAAGGAGATTGATTTCAAAATGGTCATCCAGACTCAAACTGAACAGTTTTGCGAATTTGGAAACACTGATGCAATCTGTTCATTTACTATGTATTCGTTCATTCCTCTTTAAATCAATTCAAGGTCAAAAACTCCATCAAATGGGATTTTAATTAACAATAAACTTTGTATCTTTGTACATTTAAGTTACATCCAGGTGCTATTCCACACACACTGTTGAAGAGTTACTTGTGAAACTTGCTGCAATTTAGTTTCTTTAATTGTTCCAACTTGGCTGTAAGATTGCCGCAACACAATTCAATTTGAAAAAAAAAGAGGCAGAGACCACGTTACATGCAAGTCTGTGAGGTAAATCTCGAGTAAGTTTCTGATTTCTATTGTTCATTGAAAGCGGAAAAGGCTGATTGGTCAATACAATACAATGTCTGACCCCACTGGTGAATTTAAGATAGCAAAGCGCACTCCTCTTCAATACATCCTGATCCTGTGATCATTGAAACAAACTATTGAGTCAATCTGATGATAGAACGTGTGAGTAGCAAGCAAGTAGGCGATGCTAGCATCTGATGTTGCAGATCGAAAGTGAAATGAACAGTTAGTGGTTGATCTCTTGTCTTGGAGCGGTCAGATCATTGTGTAGTTATAGCAGCCTTTTCTATATCTACTTACTTATTCTACATGTGCTCTTCTCTCATCCCCCCTCCTCACTCTCTCAGTCATCAGTCTACCATTCCTCTCTTATTTTTACTCCCCCGCCCATTCATTCTGGGCGCTTACTTTACATGGTGCCTTCTTTTATAAGTGTAATTGAACCAAACAAGATGAACATACTTATTTAGGTCGTGTGGTTATATTCGAGTTTTTTATCAGGAAAATCAATTTTGTTCAAAATTGATTTTTCGCGGTTTGACTTCATTAAATTCGTTTGCTAAAACGAAGGCAAATTCTAATTTTAGCAAACTCTAACTTTAGGAATTCTTAACTAAATTATAAAGATTTCTATTGATCCATGCTTAAAAGACATCGTGAGCTTCAAAAACTGCATGTTTTCAGAAGTTAAAATTGTTCAAGAAAGTCAACCATTTTTTCGATTCCCTGGAGTTCAATGACACTTATTCAATTTTCTGTTGGCTATGATCCGTCAATATAAAAGCAAAATTTAATATTTATTAATTCAGTTTTCAATTGCAATTTATGTAGCGTTTGATTGCAACTAAAATTTTAATTAGAAAGTCTGTTGCAATTCAAAGTTTTAAAATTGAAGTGTATAATTTAAACAGGTATGATTTGATTAAAACAACTTTTAATGATTTGAACAGGTAATAGAAGTAAACACACTCACAAAGCTTCTTTAATTACAAAATATTTATAAAACTTAATGGCTTTTAAAAGCTTAAGAACGAAATGAAATTTATTCTATTTGGCACGATTGATTTTTTTGATGCTGACGAGACGATGACGTTTTAAAACAGAGTGTGGGGTTCTCAAAAATGAGTTTCTCAGTTTTCTTGGGGTTCTATTTTTTCATGTGGACATAGATTCAATGAATAATGGCAGCTGATTAATGCCGTTCTGCAATAGTTTTTTTGTTACTTAAGTTTCGGCCCTTTTGCCTTTCTCCGGCCACCAGTAACTAAGTTTTTTTTGGCTTTGGTGAAGAAGACTTTTCTAATAGTGCTTAAGAGGTGTAGTATGGTGGTTACAGCCATTTGATATTCACATTTTGAAAATGAACTTTTCTGATCATAAAAACGAGCTTCTCAGGTTGTTAAACGCAGCTAGTGTAGCTAAAAGCTGTCAGCTTATGTTTTCTTCATTTTTTTTGCAAATTTTTTGACTGCCTGGTGAATGGTACAGGTAATACATAGTCATCTGTAATCTCAGAATAAACAGAAGCTCACCGCCAGCTCCCTCGAATGCCAATATGCACATAAAACTTAAAAATAGCAACATGTTTACGAGTAATGAACGCAGTGAGTACTCTTATGTAAGACCAGGGGCAGATTTATGGACGCCCCCTTCAGTAAATAAGACCCAAAGGGTCCCTTCTTTGTTTTATTTTGAGATATCCATGTTTGGTGACGGACCCTAAACTTTTTCTAAAGGCGCCTTTGGCGCCAATATATACTAATTTTAAGGGGGGAGCGCGCGCCAAAAAAAACGCGAATTTTTGGTCAAACTTTTCCAAAAAGTGCCTTAAAACACCTTTTCGGCCTGTTTCAAATTTTTGCCAAAACAGTCTTTGTAGTGCTTTGGGAGAGCTCAGAAAATCAATTTGGTCGACCTAAAAAACAGGAAGACAAAAATTTCGAATTTTTTATGAAAATCCGCCCCCCTCGAGAAACTCCTAGATCCGCCCCTGTTTAGGACTTGCTGATTTGTTTTGTTTTTTCAGGAAAAAGTCTTAAAATTTCTGCACGCTGAATTTTGATTTTTCGAGGTTTCACTTGTGATTTATTTTCAAGTTCAACCAATTTCCATTGTTAAAAGGAAGGCAAACTCCATTATCAAACAGAAAAAGTGTAAACGTCAGAAAAACGTGATCGTCTTCTAACTTCAAAAATGGAAATTAATTGTCAGATTTCCCAGCGAAATAAAAATTTTGTCAATTGATCCAATTGTCTCAATTTAGGTTAATTTAAACAAAAAAAGTTTCAATCATCAATTGTTGTACAAATTCAAAGAGCTTTAAGGCCATCTGTTTTTTTTCTTCGAATTTCAAAAGTTGAAGGTTTTTGAAAAATTAAGTCAGTTTTTTTTCAGTTTCCTTGCGTTCATTACTCTTTCCCAACTGTCAGCTGGCTATGTTCTTTAAAGTTGGATAACAAAGACTCTTTTGATATAAAGACCGATTTAATAAGAGCGATTTGGTTAAAAATATTTGAATTGGTTAATGGTTAAAAAATTGGTGTTTCTTTTACAACTGAACATCAATGACAAAAAGACGTAAAATTATTATTTACAAACTTCGACCCTTTACTTTAGAGTCCTGTAGAGAAACTTCAGACATCCAAAAGTTTGAAAATTCCGACTAGTTTTAAAGAGTTTTTTAATATTTCTCATTCTTTTCGAGAATTAACATTACACCTGAAGGCTAAAAAAGTATTTTGTAGTGCAATTTTTAGTTACAATTTCGAGAGCAGCTGTTTTGGAGTAATTCAGTACAAAAATTTTTTCCTGTGAACAATTTTTCATACAAATTTATGAAAAATTCTAAAATTGCTTTATTAGTGAACCGTAGCAACTTCGACCATCGTTCCCACTTGGCCTAGAGAAAACGCGGTTTCTTTTTTACCTAGGGCTAACGCGGTTTCTTTTAAATCTTAAGGTGCTGGAGTTCGAACCCTGGGTGCACTTTGTTTTTTTTTTTCAGTATGTATGAGTTTGACATTTTTTTCCGGAAAAAAATTGAATTGAGGGATTTTCGTTTACCTGCTTATGTTTTGTCGGCTTATTTGCTACCGAGAAATTTCTAGGCTGTCAGTGTTTTTTATCGCATATGCAAGTGTGTCGGTTTTAACCCTGTAATTTGTAAAATTTATAGCCCTGGCGTGTGTTTTCCTTGGTTTTTTCTTTTTTTTTTCAGCTTGAAAGTTTGATTCGGCCTCACAGGTTCCGGTTTGTTTTATTGGCTTAGTTATTTTCTTTTTATGTCGCTTCAAAGGCAAAAAAAGGAATTAATTTTTCTACGAATGTGAAATTTTCCGGCAAAAGTTGAATTTTTCGACTTTCGTTTAAGCTTGTTTCCTCTGCTTAGTTGCCAAATTGGGAATTTTCCTAAGGCAGTCAGCGTTTCTCATCGTAGATACAAGTCTGTTGGATTTAACCGTAATTTGTAAAGTTATTAGACGTGACGTTATACATTTTCCTTGCTTTTTTTGAAATAAAAGCCTGATTCGGCCTTACTAGTTTCGGCTTATTACCTTCTTTTGTGTCGCTTCAAAGGCAAGAAACGGATCATTTTTTCTGTGAAAAATTTTAGGTAGTTTGTGTTGCAAGCTTCCGAAGTTTTAAAACTTAATTGTTCAAAGGATTTCGTCTGGAATTTTTTCGTTTCCGGCTTTTTGTCCGTTTGGTAAATATTAAAAGCTTATTTAATACTTATTAAAGTGTGCGACATGTCTTTTTAATTAAGTTCTCTATTGATGAATCGTCCAGTGGAACCCTTTTTTTTACAATAGTACTTTTAGCCAGCTGAATCAAATTAAATCTGCTATAGATAAAGACGACATCTGCAAATATATCACATAACATGAACTTTTCAATTATAGACAACGAAAGTTCCAGCTTTGAAGCAAGTTACATAATCAGAGCTATTCAACTATAAATATAGAAAGCTCCACATTGCTATCGCCAAACGACATTACAAAATTCATTCTAGGCAAACATGCCAGACATTTGCATATTAAATTAACAACAACAAAAAGTTTACAAAGAATTGAAACCGGAACTTTTCGAGCGAACACAAGTTTACAAAAATAAAAAATTTTTTACTGTTAAGTCCCTCCTGGTACTTAAATAAACAACACTTGCACTTGCAACTACAATGACCTAGAGCCCAAAAAAAATTCCGTGATGTGGGAACTAAGCCGACAGTTTTTGAGCAGGCAAACGATAGTCCGACAACTCAATTTTTACCGGAAAAAAATCAATTGCATGCATGCTGAAAAAATAAGGTCCGGTGGAGACTCGAAACTCAGACCTTAGGTTGCATAGGAGACGGATTCACCTCTCGACCAAGTGAGAAGAAATCTGGAAGTTGTTTAAGTTTAAAAATAAAGCAAGTTGAATGTTTGCAAGAAAAACAGTTGACGGGAAAAGTCAAGTTCCTGATTAAAAGGCACTTGCTCTCACAAGTGAAATGATTAAAAGCAAACGCTTTTGTTATACTACGAATCCGACCCAAGTCACATAAATTAGTAGCACTTTCCAAAAAGGGACAAATTTAGTGATTGTTTAGCTGAATACCAGCCAATATATTAGTGGCTAGTTTTTTGATGACATTGTGCGCATATAGCTCAACTGCTAAGGCAGTGGACACATAAATTGTAGGAAGTCAAAGGAGTAGATTCGATTCCCATAGGAGTAATATTTTTTATTTTCCAATATTTCAATTAAATAAATTTCATTTCTGCATTGTCGTGCTATTTGAAAGCTCCCATTTTTTTCTTGTATTTGCAAACTGTAAGTTAGACTATTAAACATCTGGTAAAGGCTATGAAATTGGGTACTAGAATTATTGTTACGACCCCGAGGTTGGTTTTTGTAGCTACCGCAAATACATGTCATGGGTTGGATTTTGTATCATTATGGAGCCCTTTCAGTCCTGACTCGATCACTTTTGTTGTAAGTTGAAAAAAAAATTTTCTCAGTAGAAACAAAATTTTTGCTTTTGAACGAACTTTGAGTGAAGATCAGATTGCGAGATATAAATTTTCTTGGGTGATTATTAATTCCGTCTGTTGGCTATGACAAGAATAAATTTCAGCTTAAACTCTAAAAAAAACATTAGATTAGTTAGTTGAGTCGTGCTCACATTAATCGATGACAATCTAAACTTAGCTTTTCGGTTTTCTTTGCCAAAAATTTACTATTTCTGAACGAAAAAAAAATTGTGTTGAAATTGTCATGAGTTTTTTTCGATTGGTTATAATTCTGAATTGAGTAGAATGTATTTTACCCATTTTTCAAAGCGACTTTTGCTAATGCATGGTGTTTGCTATTGAAGGTAATGTTAACTACTTAATGCGGCAGGTAATACAAATTACGCAGCCGCCAAATTAAAGAACTCATGAACTGGAGATCTTTTTCTGTTTGCGGCGTTCAGTTCCGCCTCTGTTTTTATATAGAAACAACAATCATTTAATGAAGCAGAAAAATTTCAGTGTTGACTCAAAAAGCTTTGAGAGACTCTTTTCTGCGAATTCATGGCCTTTTCTGCTCTGTGTCATCAGTGTTATTCTACAAACAACGCTTATCTTATGAGATCAGTTTTCTTAACTTTCTTTTTTATTTTACGGGTCAAAACATGTGTACAGCTCAGTTTTTTTTATAGCGCACTCATTATTGCCCCAATACTTATTAAAGTGTGCGTGATGTCTTTTAAATAAGTTCTCTGTTGATGAATCGTTTTTTACAATACTCCTTTTAACCGGCTGAATCAAATTAACTGGTATTTAAATTCATCATCCGAATTCAATTAAATAGGCGTGAAATTTATCGCCAAATATGGCACGTACTTATTTGGCATTTTCACATAATACGATGTGATCAAATGCAAACACAGTATGATGGAAATGGAGAGAATCAAGTCATCATTGAAGGAGCACCGAGTCATGAAATTATATTTGTAGATCTGCGTTAGATTTTGACTCTTGGTTGTGGATTTATGCGTGAGTTTGATTACACACGAGTGATTTGATTGAATCATTTGTTAGAACTCAAAATCTGTGGTTGTAAATGTCTATTGCTGTTTTTAATAAGTGGTCTAAAATTGGACGTTTGCGATGACGTGGCACTGGTTCTCCACTATGCTACTGAGCCACTTCTGCCGGAAGCGGGACTGGCCGGGTCTGTGCACGAGGGAGTTGGTCTCGAACTTGTAGAACACTTGACAGGGAAGGTGTTGCGGTCGAATCTTGGACACGACAATCGTGAAAAAGACGCGGGCGGTTGCACGGGGGATGGGCTTACGACGCGTGGGGATGCTCCAGCGCACTTGATAGCGATACCTAAATGGCATTTTCTCAATCAGTGTTGATTAATATATAGAATATGCACCCAAACTTTATATTTTGATTTGGACGTAAAAATGAGCGGCTTTATGTACAAATATTAACACATGCATCTCTCCCACCACTGAGTTTCGTGATTTCATGCGACAATAAGGTGAAGTGGCTCGAGCCAGAACTAATAGATGTTGAACTAAGAGACGCCCACGCATTTTCAAATAAATTGTGAGCGAAATCTACCGGGAAAATTTTCGCTTATATTGAATGTTTCTATAAACCGACTACCCGTTGGAACTTGTTGTGAAAAGCAAAAGAGTTTAAGTGAAATAAATGAAAGATGATTGGTCGAATGGTGAAGATACCTGAAGTCGTATTCTGTGGAATCTTCCTCTAGAAAGTCAATGCAGTATTTCCAGCTAGGCTCGTATTCCCACGTCTAAACATAACAGCCGCTTCTTGTATTATAAGATAGAGGACAACAACAACAATCAATACAAAGAATCAATATTTCAAGTGGTACAAAAATTGATTCTGAAAGCCTGACCTCGACACTTTTGTGTTTCTGCTCAGCTCTTTCGGCAGATTTTCAGCTGGCTTCTTTCAATTTCGATCCTAAGCGTGTCATTTTTTGCCAAGCAGAAATGAATACTCGCCACACAGACGAAGCCAAATAGTTTTAAAGAAAAAAGTCGTATTGTGTGGCACTAAAGGTGTTTTTGGGTTAAAAAAAATGAAGGTCGTCACCGTGTTTCGAACAATGTGAAATAATAACTACATCATACAAAATTATTCAGAGAGATGAGGGGAGGGGCATGTTTTCCCGTTTCCCACTCTATTATAAAATTGCAAAACTAACCCTAAAGTTGCCTACAAGGTGATCAAGTGACACTTCGCATATAAAAATGCTGTTCAAATCTGTCGTTCAAATGCGTCCCAGGAAACAACGCAACTCGTCAAAATACGAGAAACAGCCGACGGAACTACTCCAAAAAAGGAACATGAAGATATATCAACTAACAACTTTGGAACAAGAAGCACGATGATGATCAGCAGCGGATTTAGGGGGGAGGCAGACGCCCCCACCCCCCTCAGGGATTCGACCCCCTGCCGACCCAAAGGGTCCCCCTTTGTACTATTTTGAGATATCCATATTTGCTAACGGATTCTAAAAATTTTCTAAAGGCGCCTTTGGCGCCAATCTATACTAATTTTGTGGGGGGAGCGCGCGCCGAAAAAACGCGTTTTTTGGTCGACATTTTCCAAAAAGTGCTAAAAACGCCTTTTTTTCAAAAATTTAACTGCGGCGCCAAAAAATTGGTCAAATTGCTGTCTTTTTAATGGTTTTAGTCGACCAAAAAAAAGTGCTTAAAATCCCCCCCCCCTCGAGAAATTCCTAGATCCGCGCCTGATGATGATAATGATGATGATGATGAGTGTGACTTACAACAGCAAAAGTAATGTTAAATAATTGCCTTTAGGAAATAGTATTTCAGTAGGAGAAAATTGGAAAAGATGGAAAAGAGTCTTCATAAAGTTTAACTGGGAAGTGATTGCAGTGCAGCTTGGAAAGAAGTGTACAAGAAATAAAATGGATGGATGTGTAGTTGTACCTCCACGAACTGTTGTATCTTGTGAGTTCCCAGAGGGACTGTGAACTGCTCGTAGCTCATCCACCGGATGTCCTTCAGTCCATTCTCCCCCACAAACACCTCCTCGCTCCCCTCAACAACTTCACTCCCCTTTTCACCTCTCTCCTCTCTGTCGGCGGGGGTCTGCAAATGGAAAATGACCAAAACATAAACTTTCTAGCATTAATCTGTTGTGCATAGATGTATTAGCTTTGTCGCATTTTTAGCTAATTTGACCTTATCAGAAAAAAAGAAACTAAAAAAGGTATATCATTATTTCAAAATTTTTAAAGCAAACGCGTTTTTTATACTAACGAATCTACTTTTTTCTGGCTCTTTTCCACCCATGATAACACGTAAAACAAATGAAAAAATGGAAAACTTGAAATGTGGGGGGGGGGGGGGGGTTGGAAAAAAGCCTTTTTTCTAAACCAAAACGCATAAATTAGTCCCTCTTTCTCAAAAGTGCCTAATTAAGTGCTTGTGTAGATGGTATTTGGGTAATACCAGCCAAAGAGCTGTGGCTGGTTTTCGATTTTCGAGTGACAGTTTGCGCATATAGCTCAACTACTAAGTGAGTAGACACATAAGCTGTAGGTAGTCGATGGCGCAAATTCGATTCCCGGGGGTATTTTTTGCTTTTCGATGTATCCGTTTTTTCACTTTGCATTTTCGTGCTATTTGAAAGCTCCCATGTGTTTTGCTTGTGTTTGAGCCAAAGTAGATTAGCCTTTTTGTTAAAAGGTGCCGAGACAACTCGATCAAATTTGTAAATTTTTTCCATAAAGATTTAAACGCTTGATTTTTGTTCTTTCTTAGAGGCAAGTGATGCGAACCTCCGCTCTCTTTGAGATCAATGAACTCTGCAATTACAACACACAAAAACCATGTTTCTTCCTTAAAAATTCAATACATTTTCTCTAACTTTTCATAGAGTTCTCACCTGTGAACAGGGCTGTTGTTGCTGTCTGGTTGGTGGGGTGCTGGCATTGGCGCTGATTTGTTTGTAAGCACTGGCTATGGCCCCATCCACCAGTCTATTGGCCTCCCTTGCTGCAGAGTCCACACTCATACCCCTGTCCCCATCCCCACCTATGTGGCTGTGGTCTCTGTTGTCCTCTGGGTGATAGCCCCCCTGCAGCTGCTGCTGGTGGTAGTCCTCCCCTCCTCCTTCTCCTCCGTCTGGGGGGACATGATCTGCATTCAGTTCGACTGCTGGCGGCGCCTGAAATACCCTTGCTCCTCTCATTTCATTCACTCTACTCAACTCCAGTTTCCAACGATCACTTGGAAAACTAATTGAAGCAACTTAACAACTCCCCTATTCCAAACTAACTTGACTTAACTTATGCGATCGACCAAATCGCAGCTAGTTAGAACAAGGGGTCTTTCTGAATGTTGCTAAGACTTTCCTATTCTTATTCAACAGACAAAGTTTCTTTCACTCGTAAATAGGTATATTATTTCAAATATAGTGGACACACATCAATTTTATATCAAGAGACATTGGGGTATGGATTTATAGTTATCAAGATAGAGATTTGAGATTTTGGTTATTAGGATGGTTGGGGGTCTCAGTATGAGAGTGGTTATGAGATTTGAGAAAGTGATGAAGTGATATTTGGTATATTTTCGCTTGGCTTATATACCATAGATTTTGATATTTTCAGCATTCCATCTGTTGGTTAAACCAATCAGAAAGAAACAACACATGCTGTAATGTTTGCTTTTGGTGATATTTTATCAACCGAGCAAACACATAATTTCAAGTCAGAACATGTGGTAAAAGTTTAAGAATTATGTTTCTGATTTCAAGTCAGAACATATGGTAAAAGTTTTAATAATTGTGTTTCTGATTTCAATTCAGAACATCCAACCATCTTATAGGGTGATTGTTAAACGGTGATACCCGTTGACAAAAAATTTAAAAGCATAATATAATTTACAAAACATCAAAAATTTTTAATAAAGTTTACGTAAAGTTTTTATTCTGATTTTGGTAGTTTGTTCGTAAAGTGGCGGCTTGTAGTGTAGTCGGTTGATAGATGGCTGCTTGTAGTCGGTTGAAGAATGGCTGCTTGTAGTCTATGTGCATGTAGAGTAGAGCAGTGGCGGCGGCCAAATCACAGCTGGATACTTTTGAGAAATATAACATCAAATACAATTTTTCAAATTTGGTTTAGCGAATATACTTATCAGCGATACTGGACTATAATTGTAGAAGCATACATACTTTGTAAAGTGGCGGCGGCCAATTCACAGTTGGAGTTAAAAAATAAAAAGAACGGAGGTTAATAGATAGTCTTGAAACTAATAGTTTCCTTCCACCTGGGTTTTTAGGCTCAGATATTTATTGCTGAGGTCCTTATTTTTTTCCCGGAGCACCGTTATGGTTTTCTGCATTTGATTGATGCGATTTAAGTCGTTTATGTAATTCTTTTGCACTTGATCCGTGTAGGAGTCAAGGATCGGAGTCTGCATTTGGGCAGTTATAAAAGCTGCAGGAACACAAATATGTTGATGGGGGAGTTGTGCATTAACCAGACGGTATGCACCGTTACCGTTTTGGTAAGGGTGATAGGTGTCTATTTTAAATCGGTTAATAAAGGGAGAGAGCGCATAATTTAGACTGGTGTCAAAATTTGGTGGTTTCCTAGGGCTGAGGTTTTGTTCCTTTTTGACTTGAATCGCAATTTTTGATTCAAGTTCTAGAGAGTTTGCGGATTGGTGAACTATTACAGTTTCAGATTCTAGGTTTTTCCTAGTTGAAGAAGAGGGGAGAATTTTGAAAGGTCGGACAATTGCTTTTCTCTTTTGAATGCAATTAGAATTTTTCACTTTTGGAATTTTAAAATTGGTATTCAATTTTGGTTGATTAATCGGGTTGATTGTTTTGGATGGCATTTCCATAGGGTCATTTAGAGACAGAAGGTTTTCGAAATCGAGTAAGTCTTCTTCGAGTGGAGTTTGAAGAAGATCAGTTGGCATATCCTAAAACATAGAATAAATTAGACCGGTACAGCGGGTCGATTATTGTAATCAACTAGTTGGAGTCTAGGATAAATTTTATCCTGATTTTCGTTTTCAGAATCCTCTTGTTGAGGTGCCTGAGGCCTATGATCAAGCTCAATATTTTGATCGTTCTCATTTTAGCGAATATTGAAGTCACTATAGAAGTGAAAAGTATATTGTAAGAGGCGGCTAACATAATTTTTCCGAAATGAAGAGTTCGGCCGGTTAGTTTGTGTATGTGTAATACTTTTATTACAAATACAAGAGCGTCAAGTATAAACTTGACGAAAAGGAAAGAGGCGAATATTATTCCGCATCTTTCTAAATAGTACTGTATTGTACCAAAAACACGAGTGTACTCGTTCTTCCAAAAATCAGGTGAGATAAGATAATCTAAGTATATGTTTTGTTTAGATCCGTATTGACTACTCGAGTCCGGATAGAAGTGTTTTCTTGCATTAAGAAAAGTTTGGGATACTTTTTGTAAAATTCCCTTCATTTCAGAGTGATCAGTAATCATGCTCCAAAATTTTTGCATTTGTGCATAAGTGTAAATAGAAGCATCATGACTAGATGCAAGAGAGTGTTTTACTTGCCGTTTAATTTCTTTCGGCTTAAACAGATCTGGACCTTTTACTCTAGTAATAGAGGGTGTGAGTTCGATCCAAGAATTATCGTTATCAACATCTAGTTGATAAAGATTTAAATGTTTATCGGAGCAGTCTTGTTGATCTGCCGATTTAAAAGTTTGTCGAGTGATCGGGTCGACGAAATGAATTTTTTCGCGATACATAATTGGTATCCGATTATAGCATGCATCCATTAATTGTAATGGAGAATAAAATTTTGGGCAGTGATAGAGCCAGGCAACATTGCCATTGGTCTCTAAAAACATAGACCTATTTCGGGTCAAAATGTAGCCGGCTAAACGCGGGCTTTCGATAGAGAGCATTAAAGTATTGAGAATCATGGAGCGTTCTAACTCACATTGATTCGTTAAAAGTGCCAATTCGGCAGTTCGAAGCATGTAAAAGCTTCGAAAAAGAATATAATCTAGTTTTGTTCCTAGATGAGCTTCGTAGTCTATTTGTCCCGGTGCAAAGGGATAATTTTCATCTTTTGCGTATTTTACGTAAGTCAAATTTGGCTCCGAATGAATAATTCCTGTATTAGCACTCGGGTTTATTTGTAAACCAGTATCCATATTAAAACCGTTTTGGTATGCTATGAACAACGATTCGTATTGGGTCGGGTAGACTATTTTTGGGTGTCCACATAAAGATTGTGGTTTATTTACTATTTTTAGCATAAATTGTTGAGTGTCTCTACCTCGAGTATGGTGGTTGGATATTTTAGTAAAAGAGTCTTTTACAATATAATAATTTTCTTCATTTCGAATCATTTTTGCTTCGAATTTATTGAGAACCGAAAAAATGCAATTTTCGGGCTCGTTCCAAGTATATGCAAAAGGGTCGAGTGATGTTGTTTCACATCCGTTTTCATATACAGGACAAGGTAATGGAATGTTTTGCCAGTTATTAACGGTGCCATCTTTTAGATTGACAGTTAAGGAAATATTTTGCATGTATGATTCGAAAGTATCCAAATGGATCCAAGAACGATCGCTGCATTCGTTGTGGTATTCGCCATCAACTTTGCCTCTATTTGTATTTGTGACGATTTTTTCGTCGAAGCGAAAAGGAATATTTTCTGAGTATCCTAAGTTAACATATCCCCGTTCGGCGGCGTGCTTACAAGTATCAGGGGAAATGTGTATATCAGTTGTGATTATATTTTGGCGAGCGTCTATTCCGCTTGAATCGAAAGAATCACAAAACCATCGGATAGATTGGTGTTTTATACGACACATTGTCGCGTTAATTTTTGTGCTATAATGCCGTTGGTAAAGAGTAACCTCGGCAGTTGTGGTTTCGATATTTTCAGGTTGTATTTTGCAGGGAGCTACTTTATTAAGTGAGAACATTTTGTTCGATGTCATTAGTTGACAATCAAAATGCGCAATTTTTAGATCTTTTGCTGTATTAGCGTAGAGATTGTCTTCTGGATTAAAAGCGCAGATTTGTTGGGGAAATATTAAAAGAGCGTATATAGCTAACCAGAAAAGTTTCAATTTTTGGCGGCGGCGGAAAATAGAAATTATACTTACTCTCAGCAAATCATCGATTATTTGGTCCGTTGATTGATCAAGGTCCATTATTTCGCCTTCTTCGAGATCGGTGATTTTAGACATTATTTTTGAAATTTATTGATTTTTGCAATTGCTGAGAAGTATCAGAGGAAGGTTTTGGAGGTTGAGAAGTTTTTGAAAGAATGATTCTGGGCTTATTTTTGCTGGTTTATATAGATTAGATTCTGATAAAATTTGTTTGTTTAAGACAGGTTTTAGCAAAGCCGGCTGTTCAGTTATAATTGACATACTATACTGTGCCGTATTTGTTTTTACTGGCACGTGTCTACGGCCGTTGGGAGGGGGTTGGTTTGCAAGTTAGGACGGTAGTGATAAGCATGTTTGCTTCAACCATATGTTTTGAGTTTGCAAATAACCATATGTTCTCACCATTTGGTCAGAAATTAGTATTTTAGCAGAAGCTTTCGTCTTGAATTTATTGACTACTAACTGATTGAAAATATGGCTATAAAAGATGATGCTGATAACTGGCTCAAGTATCCAGAAAAATTAGAGCCTTTGAAAAGTATTCCGCTTTGGGATATAAGTAATGAGAGAAAGGAGGAGAGAAAAAAAATATTTGAATTTATGTATAATTCAGATCTCCTTATTTCAAGAGTAGAGTACCTACTATTCACTAACGGCAATTATTTGTTCGACGTTCCGCTTTTGCGGGAAGCCGAATGGTGGTCAGCCCAAATAATAAAATTCAATTTGGATAGGAATGCCGATATCATGTCCAATTGTTGGGAGGAAATTGACCAATTGTCCAGCGATTCAATAGAGTTGATCGGTCTGCTCCTTGGTGAGGATGTGAGTATACTTTTGATTATTTGATTACAAATTCAATAATACAGTTATATTTTGACATAAATGTTTCTGTTTCGTTTAGAAACTAATGTTTTTATTGTTGTTTTAGTTCTATAGAAGCATGTTCATGGAGAACGGACGAGAAAAGCTCGATATGCTAAAAAGGATTACAATGGCGTGGTGGCAACCCGAGCCGGTATTACAGATAGTAGCCA